TGCAGAGCTCGCTTCAGCTTCCACTCTCCACACAAACGACTGTAAATGTGTCAAACAGCACACATTTACCTGTTACATTTTTTTATTAATATTGTGAATTGCATGAAGTGTTTTATGTCTATAGATTTTATTTTAGGCACGTCATGTTGATTTGAGAAGGCTAAATTGAACAAACATATATGCTCAACTCAGTCCGCCACTGGCCGCTTGGTCGTTACTTTAAAAAAAACGACAACAACTTGAATTTAACATGGCCGGGCCCGTGCAGGGCTCTATTCATTCCCTCGTTTCAATTAAAGGTTCCCCCTCGGCTTGGCGGGCCCACAATACTCCCAGGCCCATATGCACCTGCATACCCTGCATACAAGACGCTACGCCCTTGTGAAGAATACATTGAATATAATGCAATACGTTTGAATTTAATGAAAGGGATTGGGGCTGTTAAGCTCCATCATTATAATTTGTATAAAGTTTTGCTTTAGTAACAGTTTCATATTGAATCTAAAGAGCTAATCTATTAGACTGTGGCTGTCATAAGCGGTCAAATGCGGCTTTACCGAGTTCAAAGGCTCTGGCCCAAGCTGTGATATAAACAAAACGCTATTGGCTATTTAAAAAGGGGCCGGGGCTGCTCAATATGTCCCGCCCCGTCTTCCTGTTTCAGCTGAAATTACGTCACCACATAGCATAACGCTGCGTGTTTCAAGGCATTTCAGTGGACCTTTAAGGTTCAGTTATCTTAAATGTTTATAATCAACATGGTTATATATATATATAAAACTAATTTTGATGAGTTAAAGTAATGTAAAAACATAATTGACTTACTGATCGTATTTTTAACAGAGATCTCGGTTCATTAGAGTTCATGAGAGAAGTGATGAACGAAATGTTAAAAGTAACCATCGCAGTGATTATCAGATCAGTGGAGTTAAGCATAAACATGTTGTGAACATTTATCGACCTCTTGTTATCGTTTTATTGTGGAAAATGATATCTCAATAATAATTTTTATCATTTTATCGCCCAGCCCTATCGTACGACTTTGGAAATGTGGGATTTAGTGCAAGAGTCACTACTTTTATGATATAGGCTATTTATGATACACTGTAAAAATGTGCCAATGTCTCTGGCATTACCAAAGTCATTTTGGTGATTGTGTAAATCATATCCTTCTGGGACCCAGGCATAGACTTTTGTCCT